TCCCAAAATATTGTTGTCCCAAAATATTATGTTATGTAACTAATTTTAGATGTTGATTTTAATCTTTTCCCACAAAATTGGGATGGGTTTTGTTTAACATGAGAAACTTATACACACTTTTCTTTCATTTCTACTTATAAAGATTAGAATACATTTTTCATCAATTGGGTGCCCTTGCTGTTTATGATATTTTGGGCTGTAAAATCAATAATATTTCAGAAAGTTAAACAGCTTAGGAGATTTAGGTTAGTCTTAACTACACATAATAAGCTATCATTGCAAAACAATCTCTATAACAAAAATATCACAATAAAAATAATAAAATTATATATAATTGGTAAGAAAGGATTAAATAAGACATCTAAAATGAATTCTCTAAACTTCAGAACAATTTATTTCTTGTAGTTTTTGTGTTGAGTATCAGAGAATATATTATTTTGCAACAAATATGTGGTAGGAATCTGGAATAAATTTGTTTTTCTCACTCTGAAATATCTTACTATCTGGTATCACTTACATAACTAATGAAACTATAAGTTGAGTTTGAATTTCCTATTCTCTTTCAACACGGGCTCGGTCCCTGGGACTGACCGGTAAACCATTTTGTGCTTGTTATAGTTTTTATGCTATAACTTTTAAATTAGTAAGCATATGTTAACAAAATTTAGCAGATTATCAGTAAACATTACAATGCTTTCATACGGAAAATATCCATTTTTTTTGGTTAAGTCTTAAGGTTTGTAAAACAAGGTTTTTCTCAAGCCTATTTTTCTTTCCGCATGCTGCCTATCCAACATGCAAAGTAATTTTCATTTTAAGATTAAAAATACTTTTATGCACGAGAAAATTTTCAAATTTCACATGCAAAATCTTTATAACATCCAGATAGTTATCAAACGTTTCTTAAGAAAAAAAAGCTATATATCTTATCTGTTACTTTCAGTAACGAATCTCTGTACGGGTTCGGTAGATCCGACCGATCTAGTAGCCACCATAAAAAATTAGGATATAAATGTAAATTATGCCTCTTTCATTCTAAAATGAACACAAATTATAACACAAAAACATAAATGTTTAGACCAAATAGCTTAAATCTCATAACATTATACATTTATCATTTTTATTATATTGACCTTTCAGCTGTGCCTAGCTAACAATACGGAAGTTATAATGATGCAATACACTTGCACTCATGTTACCATATCCAATAATATAAAACTGACCTTTACAAAGTGACCTGTCTTGGCTGTGTTTTAGTAGACTAGTATTTTGTAAAATACAGTCACATTTCAATTATTATAAATTATATATGTATAAAGATTATTGCTATTTAGAAATAAGTTCTTAAAACATAAAACAGCAAGTAAAGCAAACAATTATCTCTTCTAGTTACGACCTTTGTACTCGGTTGCTACTTGATGTAGGTTGCTAAGCCTTTTAAAAGTTTGCATGTGGAGGATATGAAATGAAATATTTTTTTAGGTTTTATATATTTTGAGTTGAATAACCAAAAATCATTAATTATTATATCAATACCACAGAATTCTACAATAATTTATCACGCTTAGTAACTAAGCTGTATTTGGGTCTAAAAAATATGAAAATTTTGAGCAGACTAAAGACACAACTTACCTCCCTGAAATCTTGGTTTGAAAGAAAAAGATAGCATCCTAAGAATTTAAAATAGCTAAGAAAGCCACTAGGGGGACATTCTGAGATCTCAATTGGTTATTCATGTCATATGCAGAAGTGTATATAAAGGAGTGTTTTAAAAAATGGAAAAAGGTGGGCGGGGTACCACTGTGTTTGATTCAGTACATGAGCGATATCTTACGAAATAGAAAAGATAAGAGGTTCTTATTTTATATTCTAGCTTGTCAATATTGGTAATTTGAGCTCCTAATTCATATGAAACTATAGACTTTGTATTTTGACATCACAAACATCTAATCTGAACTATTGCTGCACTCAACATCCCAAGTGACACACAAAAATCGATGTTTAACTGTGTTTTTAATATA